GACTGCGCATACGGTAAAACTATTCTACAACAACAGTGAAAATTCTTTGTGGTGCACAGAAAAGTTAGTCTGTAAGTCTCGGAAAAATACTTTGGAACTGTTTAGGAACTTCGATAGTGCTATAATGGGTTCAATAACTTCTTAATTTCCCACCCAAACCTATGTCATGCCTTGACATTTTTTGTTCGCCTTGTCAATAAAAATCAATTACTACAAATAAATGCCCATTTGGACCACTTAAAAATTCACTCATGAATCTTAAAGTGCAAGGAGACAATTTTACCGTGGCACACGCAGTATTATTTTACTATAAGTACCAGATTACTTTTCCCATAATCTACAGTAAAAAATACTATATTCATTAAATATTTTTACCACAACCCTTATATTGTTCTAATTTTTTCGTGAAACTTTCAAATAGGATTTGAAATAAATCCAGAAAACTGAAACTTTGCTTTGTTATTAGGTCCATTGTTGTGAGCTCTTAATACAAAATTCAGTCCAGACGGGTCACTGTAAGAGCCTGTCCTTATTAAATAAATCCACTCTAACGCTAGCGAGTATCGCACGCAGGCGTGCAGGTTGCCGGCAGCGTACCCGGCGGCGTGTACTCCGACCTCCGCGCGGCCGGCCAGCTGCCGAAGGACCTCTTCTACCGATTCAACGACGAGGATTACCGCTGGGTAGCCAAGGCCAACTGGACCTACGACCGCTCCTTCCAAGGCGAGTGACTGAGAAAGAAGCACCGACGAAAGCATTCTTATCCGGTTCTCGACCCAAGTACACCGATTTACGATGACTGACGACAATGTTGCCCCTTGCAGTGCCGCGCGGCGTCCTGGCCAAGGACAAGCAGGTGCTCGTGCTGCACGGCGTGGACACGGTGGCTGAGGTGCGGCTCAACGGCCGCGTCCTCGGCACCACGGACAATATGTTCGTCCGCTACCGCTTTGACGTCAAGGGGATCCTCAAGGTAAGAGACTTGAAGAAGAGGAGGCCACCTACCCTATAAATGTTGACAAGGCCAAACACTGCTAGAAATTTTTGTTAATTTACGAAATAGTTTAGCACGAAACAGTTCTCAAAATATTCTTTAGAAAAGGTATCTTGAAATTTAGAGATTATTTCGGACTTTGACATTATAAATCTTGTATTAGCCACAAAACGATATTTGTGATATTTTTAGCAAACATTTTGTAGACAAATGAAACAGTTATGAAATTGACATAATACGCCGTAGAGATTGCCAAAGCCAGCTAGTCATCGAGCTTCAAATGCCCTTGCAGAGCTGTGGCAGCTAGGCTGCCGGCGGGCCAGAAAGTCCTGGTTTAGAGTCTCCGACGAACATTTTTTCTCAACACTATTTGCTGCATGCTAGGTTGCATGTTACTTACAATTATCAAAAGTATAACGGAATGTTTTGTAGATTTACAAAGTATCTTGTAAATTGATGTTTACGACGAATTTTTGGACTTTACGGCATATTTTGTCAACTACGTTTTACAAAGCTCTCGTTTATAAAAATTTCCAGTGAAATCTTTGTAAACTTACGAAAAATTTTCGAACAGTGAAAAAGGCTCACGCTCGCGGCCAGCACATTGGGGCTGGGGTGGGGGTGACTGTCCGCCGCCTCATCACATGAGCGCAAGAGAGACAAAAGGTGTTACGTTATGTGTGGACGGCCCCTCATGTTTTCGTGCTGCACTGAACACTTTTAACAGTCCCTGCCAGGACGTGGCGCGTACTTTGCAAACTGAAGTGTGCACATAGTACACTCTTATTAGAGCATACTTCCAAGTACACTCTTATTTACAGCATACATGCTAGGCACACGCTAAAGTAGAGTATGCCTGGCAAGTACACGCTAAACAAGTGTGTACCTTGCAAGTACACGCTAAAATACAGTCGATTAGTCCTATCTAAAAGCATGGGCTAGTTTAAGTGTACTTTCCAGGTACACTCTTATTTAGCGTGTACATGCAATGTACACTCTATTTTAGCGTGTGCCTAGCAAGTAAGCTGTAAATAAGAGTGTACTTGTAAGTATGCTCCAATAAGAGTGTACTATGTACACACTTCAGTTTGCAGAGTAGGAAGTATTGGGCTTGGTCGGCGCTGGGCATCCCCTACCCCCTCTGCTGATGCTACGGGGCGTCGCAGACGAGTGGGCCACCACTTACGAGATCACTCTCGTAACCATGTGCACGTTCAAAGTTGGCCCGTAATTAAGTATCATCCGTTACAAATATTTCGTGAAAATATTTACAAATTAAGCAAAAATATTCGAATTATTGACGATTTTACTTTCGCAATGACAGTGGAATCTTGTGTACTCCCATTAATCTCGTACTTTCGTAATCTTGTTTACGTTTAAAATAAGTGGTGCCTCCCCCGCTTGTCCTGACACGATGATAAGACAAACGCAGCCGTGTCACTTGCCATTTGGCACTCGAAACATGGCACTCGGCACTCGCCCACTCACAAAATGTGCTTATCACCGCCGAACCGGTCACCCCAGTACTTCTGCCAGTGCCGATGAGCATTTTTTGGCGGTAACCGGTTACAGCATTGAAAGTACTTTGGATGCTCGCTCCGACGAGGGAAATGATGCTAAACACGAATGGTGCGGCGGCATTGCACTATGAAAATTCAGGCCACACAGGACCTCTCCAACATGCGTTCCGTGTGGCCCGTCCCGTTTGTTGCACACTAAATGTTTTTGTACAAATTTTGTACGAGACATCAAATTTTTTGTGCTCACGAAATTTTCGTACAAATTTGTACGAGATTTTGCACAAAATCGGGAAATTTGTGAAGTTTTTCGTTCAAAACTTGTACGAACACTGTAAAAAATTTGTTCGTAAATTTACAAACAATTTATGCGTAATTTCGTTGCACGAATTATTAGTAACTTTAGAACGTTTTTATGTTTCTTAACGATTAATGAATTATTCTTCACGCAGTAGTTTGTAATATCACAAACTTTTTACACGCTCCAAAATTACGTGGACCGCTTTTGTTCTACCTTGTCACGCAGATTAAATGGAGATAATCCTGTTTAAGCATCTTTTTTTGTTTTATGAAACATTTTGTAAAATGACGATGGCACCTTCCTATCTCGTAATTTTAATTTTACAAGCGATTTGTACAACGGAATTACACAAGCATTTGTTGTAATTTTACGAAACATTTCATATTTTTGTGACCTTGATGTAGTTTTATCGTCACGTTTGAGATGTATTTCGTTCGTACTCTTTCAAAAGGCGGTGTTCTCAAACAAATCTCATAAAATTAAGAAGATTTCTGTGATGAATAATTCATTAAACGGCCTCTACAAATGAATTTCATATAAGAATGAAATGTTATCTTTACTTTTCAAGGAGTTCGTAACAAAAATTTTTGTAGTTCCAATAATTTTTTACAGTGAAAAGCTCGTGTGCACAAAGAACTGTGATGTCTCGTTCATAATTGTACATAACTTGTAATGTGTGCGAGTTCCGTACGCACTGCGCAGGACGCCCACAACAGGCTGCAGGTCCGCTTCACGTCCCCGACCGCCGAAGCGTCGCGCCGCGCCGCCGAGCAAGACAAGCAGTACCCGGTGCCGCCCGCCTGCCCCGACGCCAGCTACCACGGCGAGTGTGGGGTCAACCACCTCAGAAAGATGCAGGCCTCGTTCTCCTGGGACTGGGGCCCCGCCTTCCCCTCCATGGGGTTGTGGTATGGCCTTGATATCACCGGAAGTTTCCATCCGATGCGATTGAGATCTTGCAACAATCTCTTTCTTAGGGGTTCCTGCAAGTGACCCAAATTGCACCAAGATCGGAGAGGGTCACCTACGAAAGTGGCCATGTAATCATGGATTGCTCCCTAGGAAGAGCGTGCACATAGAGGCGTACACTACGGCGGTGCTGCGCAACGTGGGCTTCACCGCGCGCCCCGCGGCCGCAGCCACGGCCAAGAGGTGGGACGTGGCGGTGCGCGCGTACTGGGAGGTGGGCGCGCGCCCCGGGGAAAGCCCCCCGCGCGCGCTGCTCTCCGTCACCCTCACCGGCCCGGACGGCAAGGTTGCCGCCAGCGAGGACGTCGCGGCCACGCTCAGCGGGGACGCGGAGGGCGCCGGCTTCACGGACGTCGCGCTGTTCTTACCCAAGGTGAGCCGCCCGCTTCATGCCGTAGGCCGAAGGATCGTTTCGTCACTCTGTTTCTGCCCTACAACTTAAGTGTCACCATAGTACACTCCACCTGGAGCCAACCTAGCACGTAAACTCCATCTGGAGTCAACGTGGCATGTACAATAGGGTGGGTCGAAAATCCCAGAATTAAACGGCGTATGGTTTTGTTTGCAGTTGACCATATTAGAAAAGAGATCCCAGAATGCTGGGGTCTGGTGACGTCACCTTTCATCTCTCTGGAGGCTCCAAACTTGGGTCTAATAGTGAAAAATGGCACTTTTGGCCCTACAAGGACCAAACCAGGCATCGTCCAGGATGCGGCTAGCTCGCGATGGGTGCGGAATATGTTCCTTTATATCCCTGCAAAGTCTGGACGATGTGGCCAAACATCTTGGTTAAGCCCGGGCACTTGTTTTAACGCTAAAACAAAGTTGCAAAACACTAAAAATTGGACTTAAGGGTCTATTGTTTTCTCAAAGGTCCCATACACTTATATGCACGGAAAGGGCTCAAAAAATGCAATTTTTTTGTATACATAACTTTGTGATCGGACGAAAATTGTTGCCAGGGTGAAACTTTACACATTTCAGCAAAAGCTCAAAAACACTAAAAAGTGATCTTTAGGAGAATATGTATTACCTGTGGATCCAATATGATCATACTGTTCGAAAGATCTAAAAAAATGCAAAATTGTGATATATTAAGTTTTGTGATTGGACAAAAACTCGAATAGTTGCTAAATAATTCATTAGCAAAGCGAAGCAAAGCCCTTTTTGGGCAAGAGATGGCCCGACGAACGCTTACACTTTCTTCTATAATTTACAACAAATCAAGTTTTTGTCCAATCACAAAACTTAATATACCAAAATTTGGCATTTTTTTAGATCTTTCGAACTGTATGATCATATTAGATTCACAGGCAATACATATTCTCCTAAAGATCACTTTTTAGTGTTTTTGAGCTTTTGCTGAAATGTGTAAAGTTTCGCCATGGCAACAACTTTCGTCCGATCACAAAGTTATATACACCAAAACATTGCTTTTTTTGAGCGCTTTCCATTTATATAAGTATATAGGACCTTTGAGCAAACAATAGACCCTTAAGTCCAGTTTTTAGTGTTTTGCAACTTTGTTTTAGCGTTAAAACAAGTGCCCGGGCTTAACCAAGATGTTGAGCCACATCGCCCAGACTTTGCAGGAATATAAAGGAACATATTCCGCACCCATCGCGAGATAGCCGCATCCTGGGCGATCCATGGTTTGGTCCCTGTAGGGCCAAAAGTGCCATTTTTCACTATTAGACCCATGTTTGGAGCCTCCAAAGTGATGGAAGGTGACGTCACCAGACCCCAGCATTGTGGGATCTCTTTTCTTATATGGTCAACTGCAAACAAAACCATACGCCGTTTAATTCTGGGATTTTCGGCCCACCCTAATGCACACTACAGGGTGAGTTTTTTCGATGTGTCAATAATTTTTTGGAAGCTCAGGCACCCCTAGTGGATCATTTTTCGCCAGTGAACTAGCAGGCGCAAACGTCTAGTTACTCAGATAATAAGTGTTATGTAATTAACCTTCGCGCCCACGAGGTACGCTCCCGCCGCCACTGAGGATGGCGGGACATCACGAGTGGGTGTCGTGAGACTCGCAGTACTCAAAGGCGTGCCGCTGACTTCACGGAGAAGCCGTGGAGTCCTGCCAACCTCGCGAAGACAGCCGCGTGATCCACTGTTACGCAGGCCACCACGACAGCCACTTGAGACCCTTGGCTTGGGTGGCCCACTTTTTTTAAAAGTTTCAAAAATTGAGAAGCGCCGTCCGGATTCTGAAAGAAGGTGTAAAATCATGAATTTTGATACAAATATGATTAGATTTGGACCATTTTTAGGGGTCCATCAACGCACCTGAACTTTAAAGAAAAATTGAAAATGGACTGGTTTACTAAAATCGATGCTGATTCCGCAGTCTTTGACCGATTTTCGATTGCAAAACGGCGATCTTTTCGGAAAAGTGCGTTTTACTCGATGATGTACATAACATGACGATCCAACGCATTGCCTATTTTCCAGGGGCTTACAATCACGTTTTTAGCCCCTAAATCCAACCTGTTCCTGCGTTTGAAGGTGTTGGAGTCGTCCGATCGGATTGCTTGGGGCACCGTTCGACGCGCCTGATCAAAACCTTTCAAAAATTGTCTCAGGCGTCAAAATCGGTTTAGTTGCCTTCTGTACAGGAGCAAAAAACCACTGAAATTTGCCGGAAAAGTGCACTTTTGTGATATAAAATATCTGGTTTGGCATCCGGTCGGATTTTTTGTGGTGCCATTTGACGCGCCTGGTCAAAGTCTTTCGATAACCGTCGCAGACGTCCAAATCCGGTGGGTTGCCTATCCTCCAGACGAATTTTTCGACATTCGACATTTTTTGCTTGTAGGGTCGGCACCCCACCGGATTCGGACGTCTGCGACGGCTATCGAAAGTTTTTGACCAGACGCGAGAAATGGCACCACAAAAAATCCGACCAGATGCCAAACCAGATATTTTGTGTCACGAAAGTGCACTTTTCCGGCAAATTTCAGTGGTTTTTTGCTCATGTACAGTAGGCAACCAAACCGATTTTGACGCTCGAGACGTTTTTTGAAAGGTTTTGATCAGGCGCGACGAATGGTGCCCCAAAGAATCCGATCGGACGACTTAAACATGTTCGAAACTCAGGAAAATGTCGGATTAAGGGGCTATAAACGAGATTGTACGCCCCTGGAAAATAGGCAATGCGTTTGATCGTCATGTTATGTACATCATCGAGAAAAACGCACTTTTCCGAAAAGATCGCCGTTTTGCAATCGAAAATCGGTCAAAGACTGCGGAATCAGCATCGATTTTAGTAAACCAGTCCATTTTCAATTTTTCTTTAAAGTTCAGGTGCGTTGATGGACCCCTAAAAATGGTCCAACTCTAATCATATCCGTATCAAAATTCATGATTTTACACCTTCTTTCAGAATCCGGACGGCGCTCCTCAATTTTTGAAACTTTAAAAAAAAGTGGGCCACCCTACCCTTGGCAACCCCTCTGAAATGGCAATTGAACGGGCCGCCGCACCCCTGCGACCTTCGTTGCATCCCCGCTAGACCCACGACCAGCCCACGACATCCTCTCGTGAGGTCTTGTGACCCTCAGTGGCCACAGGTGCTTATCTGGCAGGTGCGAATGTCCATTTGTAAATATCAATTATCTCCGTACCTAGACGTTTGCGCCCATTAGTCCACTGGTGGAAAACGATTCTTTCGGGGAGCCCATGCTACCTACAAATTATTGACACAGAGAAAAAACTCACCCTGTATTGCTGAAGTCCCCAACCTTTTGCATGTTAAGCAGAGCAACAGTGTGCTTGCCAAGTACACCCCACCTGGCGTGTGCCTGGCAAGCGTGCTGCAGCGTAGAGTGTACATGCAAGGTTGACACCGGGTGGAGTGTACTGTGTTGACATTAAAGTTTGTGGAGTGTCTCTCTTGGCACCGCGTAGCGGATCGAGCGAGAGAGAACCAGGCGGTATGTCGGCCTGCGAGCTTTGCTATCGAGTGGATATCTAAAACGAATCACTTCCGTGTGCAGGACAAGGTGCAGATGTGGTGGCCGAGCGGCTACGGCGCGCAGCCCCTGTACACCGTGCACGTGGCGCTGCGCGCCTTCACGAACTGGGGGCAGTCCGACCGCGGCGACCTGTGGGACCAGATGACCGTCAAGTCGGGCTTTAGGACCGTGGAGCTGGTGCAGGAGCCCGTGGACGAGGCCCACCTCGCCAAAGGTGAGTGCGAGACGAGACGTGGCCGACGACGAAGTATTCAAGTTCCAAGAATCGTTGCCTACTCAAGGCAACACTGCCTGGGAGTTTTTCTCCAACCCGAATCGTCACTTAGACCGAACACCTCGTCAGGCATTTGACTCAGGTGACAATTCGGGTCAGTGAAACAAATTTCTTTTTGGACTAAATGTTTTCGGGTTAGTGAAGATACGGCTTAGTGGGCATTCGGGCAAGTGATACTTCTGTTGTAGCGACATAGACTCTACTGCCCCCCCCCCTTGCACTCAGGACTCACGTACTACTTCCGGGTGAACGGCGTGGCCGTGTTCGCCAAAGGCTCCAACTGGATCCCCGCGCACGTGCTCCCGGAGCTCGGCGGCGACCCTGGTGTCGTCGGTCACCTCCTGCACTCCGCCAAGGAGGCCAACATGAACATGCTGCGCGTCTGGGGTGGCGGCGTGTACGAGTCGGACCTGTTCTACGAGGTAGGGCAGACCCATCCGCTTCAGGGATGCAAACTAAAACGTCCCTGTTTGAGGCCACGGAGTTAAGGCCACACAATAACGCTGCAAATGTGCTGCTTTGTCGTGTGGCTTTTGCCGTGCGGCCGGGCCGCCCTCTCCTTGAGCACCGCTTGCTTCCAACGATGCACCGGTGTCGCTAGGATCGGCAAATTCAGCCCGCTTACTTGGCAAAGTTCTCGAATCAGCTCTTGGACTCAGATGAATGGTGGAAAGTTTTGCCCTGTGGCCACACTGTTCCACCGGCCTTTCGCACAAAACGAGCATTCTGTTTCCTTCCCGCAGCTCGCGGACGAGCTGGGCATCATGGTGTGGCAGGACTTGATGTTCGCGTGCGCCATGTACCCGGTGGGCTCGGCTTTCCTCCGGTCCGTGGACACGGAGGTGCGCCAGCAGTACCGCCGCCTCAACCGCCACCCCAGCGTGGTGGTGTGGGCCGGCAACAACGAGAACGAGGCGGCGCTCAGGGGCGACTGGTACCACACGCAGGGCCCGCTGTTCGAGCAGTACCACCGCGACTACGTCAAGCTGTACGTGGACACGGCGCGCGCCGCGGTGCGGGCCGAGGGCCTGGCGACGCCCTTCGCGGTGTCCAGCCCCTCCAACGGCGCCCAGTCCGAAGCGGATGGCTTCCTCGCTGAGAACCCTTACAGCTCCTTGTACGGCGACGGTAGGTTGGTGCTGGTCTTGACGAGCACTCGCGCTTCGTGCTGACGGCGTTCTGCCCACAGACCACCACTACGACTACCTCTCCGACGCCTGGAACCCCGCCGTCTTCCACAACACGCGCTTCGGCTCCGAGTACGGCTTTATGTCCTGGCCCAAGAGGCCCACCATGATGGACGCCACGGACTCCGAGCACGCCGACGAGGACCTGGCGCTGGGCAGCACGCTGGCTGCGTCGAGGCAGCATCACCCAGGCGGCAACCTGGAGATCGCCATGCAGATCATGCAGCACCTGCCCTTGCCGCAGGACTTCAACAAGTCTGAGCACTTCGACACTGTGGCGTACTATAGCCAGGTGAGAAACCACCGGAAAAACGCGTGACCCTCCGTCGGCATAGAGCCCAAGCGGTGACTAGGGATGTGCGAATCAAGGATTTTCATTTCGAATCGAATCTTTCAAAAAAGTTTCGAATCGAATCGAATCGAACTTATAAGGATTCAGAATTGAATCGAATTCGAACTGAAACTAGAAAAAATTAGTGCATTTCAATACACAAAACACATGTAATAAAGGAAGGGCATAGAGTATGAATACAAAAAAGAAGGAAAGTAAAATACCTGATCTTGCTTTTGTATAAAAACTACGCTGAACGCGCGACTTTCAACCGTTCTCGAGCTACGGATTCGAAGACGAAGCACTGTCGATTCGAAATTTCGAATATTCGGGGTCGAAGCAAAGAGATCCGTCCCCGAATCGAATCAGCCCTGATTCGATTCGATTCGATACCGAACTATTCGCACATCCCTAGCGGTGACACTGTTGGGCGAGGTTTCAGATCTACCAGGCCATGGCCACCAAGACGGAGACCGAGTTCCTGCGGCGCTCCAGGAACCTGCTGACGCCCCTGGGGGAAGGCCGCACCATGGGGGCGCTCTACTGGCAGCTCAACGATGTGTGGCAAGCCCCCTCCTGGGCAGGCATCGGTAAGGATGCATTCTCGCCATCGATTGACCATTTGCCCTGGACTCTGTCTTGACGCTTAATTACTATGCAGTTTTTATTTGTGCATAAGCTACACTGAGAATGAAAAAGTCATGATCAATACCCAATTTTGGGCAAGGTTTACTTTCTCACCCAATTTTGGGCGCACGGTAAAAACGGTTCCTGGTTTTCCCAGGAGCCCCCTGGAAATCACCTATGTCTTCGCCATAGGGCTCCTGGGAAAACCAGGTACCGTTTTTGCCGTGCGAGGAATGTTTCCTCGCCCAATTTGGGTGAGAAAAGTTTCCTCGCCCAATTTTGGGTGAGGAAGGGTGTATCAGCTCCCTATATAGCACCATAGTATTATGACCCAAATTTGGGTAATAAAGAATTCCTTACCCAAAATTTAAGTCAGGATCATGACATTTTCATTCTCAGTGTATGCATGAAACTGTGCATGCGATTCAAAATGCAGTAATTTGTGCGCAACTACGCACGAACACGTGCGTTGTTGCGCATGAAATTCGTTTATTTTGAAACGCATTCACAGCTTCGTGCATACTCTGAAAATCAAACATAGGCATACATCTGACTCTGTGAGGGGTGAGACATAAGTGTCCCATCGAAAAAGGGCGATACAAAAATGTATCACCGCAAAACAAAAAAAAAATTCCAATGATAATCGCATTGCAAGGTGTTCCCATTTTCACATTTGGCTATTTTGAAATAGCCATGTATTGGACCGTGCCAGTGTCAACTGTTCAATGATTAAGAGAAAATCCAAAAATTTCGAAGTGCGCATGCGCTAAATTCAAACTAACCAATAGAAAAGAGTTCTGGTCAAACCTGATTCAGTTAACACCACGACCACCTTACTCCATCTCGCGACTTACAGTGCTCATGTTCGCCAAACGAAAGTCATCCGCGTTCCGAAATCACCCCTCCCGAGTTTATTAAGTTTGTCAAACCAAGCATCGTGCTGTTTTTACGTTGTGAGTAAGAACTGTTCCACAGAATTGAGGAAAAAATGACAAGACAACCGCAGCCTTTATAAGCATGCCAAACAATCCAACCTCAGCAACAATGGAGGGGCAGTTCAATGCGCGCCTACTCGTTTTTTCAGCCTCGCGATTTTCGAAAGGGCAAGCAAATCGGTGCCAACCCACGAAAAATTAATTTGATGCGTCGTTTCTGCTACGAACTTTTTACTAGTGACAGACTTAAAAGATGATCCAACGTCGAAACACCGTGCAATGCGTTAGCATTAGCATTTTCGAATTTCACGGCGTTTTGATTTCTCTTTATCGAAGACTTTAAATTTGGGACGATGGGACCATGCCGTTGCCATGGAGATTTTTTTTTCATGTTTTAACCATTTGCTCAGAACAGACGATTTCTTGTTATTTTGATGAGCCAGGAGGTTTAGTTTTGAGGAGTGGCACATTTTTTATTTGAACCATTTTTTCATATCATTAACGGTTCTCGTTTTCGATTGTTGCAAATTTTCGTTTTTCTAGTTTACGGAAAATTTCCACGATGAATTTTCGAAAATAAATGGAATTTTCGTTTTTTTCATGGTTGAAATAGTTTAGCGCAGTTTGAAAATCGGAGCGGGGGGGGGGGGGGAAGGAATCCACGGACCTCGGACAATAGGGGTTCTTGGGAACCCCTAAAAATCTCATTCAGTTAAAGCAGATGATACTCGTTTGGTTTTCTTCTACGGGGTAGTATGGGCTCATTCCAAAGATAGCATTTAACTCGCGCTGCTCGCTGGGGGCTCCGCCCCCAGACCCCCGCATGTGTGGGGCGCGTACCGAAGTATTTTTAGTAAGTCCGTGGTGACCAAAGGGAAATTTTCTAATGAAGTAACTGTACTGCTTTTTGGAAGGGTCTATTTAACTGCTTTTGACCAGTAATTTTTAAGGTACTATTACTGCCCTAATAGATAGCTTGTATTGTATTGGCTACTGTGGCAGTCAACGGCATTCAAGGTCCGGAAAATATTGAAGACTGCTTTGACAAGAATAAGATCTGTGTTCATTATGGTTAATGTGACCGAAGGCCAAACTAATGGGCCTCTTTTGCGTCTTTCATTTCTGATTTCTACAGATTTCTCCGGCCAGGTTTAAGACGCAATATATAACATGGCTTTTACTGCTCGGAAACGGTTGTATTTTGTTCAATTTAGGCCCATTTCATCGTTTTGAGGATGTTGCCGGTGACGGGAACCCGATTGCGGCGCAGTTTCGGAAATGTCACGACCAGACCTACCGATGGGGCGAATAAAATTTTTTAATCGGTCGGTCCCTTTTTTTGAAGATTGAGTGGATTTTGTTGAATTTAGGCCTATTTAATCGTTTTTTGAGGATGTTGCCAGTGACGGAGACCCGATTGCGGCACAGTTTCGGAAATGTCTCGACCAGACCTACCGATGGGGCGAATAAAATTTTTTAGTGGGTCGGTCCCCTTTTTTGAAGATGGAGTGGATCTTGTTGAATTTAGGCCTATTTAATCGTTTTTTGAGGATGTTGCCAGTGACGGAGACCCGATTGCGGCACAGTTTCGGAAATATCTCGACCAGACCTACCGATGGGGCGAATAAAAAATTTTAGTCGGTCGGTCCCCTTTTTTAAAGATTGAGTGGATTTTGTTGAATTTAGGCCTATTTAATCGTTTTTAGAGGATGTTGCCAGTGACGGAGACCCGATTGCGGCACAGTTTCGGAAATGTCTCGACCAGACCTACCGATAGGGCGAATAAAAATTTTCAGTTGGTCGGTCACCTTTTTTGAAGATGAGTGGATTTTATTGAATTTAGGCCTATTTTATCGTTTTGAGGATGTTGCCGGTGATGGGGACCCGATTGCGGCACAGTTTTGGAAATGTTTCGACCAGACCTGCCGATGGGGCAAATAAACATTTTTAGTGGGTCGGTCCCCTTTTTTGAAGATTGAGTGGATTTTGTTGAATTTTGGCCTATTTAATGGTTTTTGAGGATGTAGCCAGTGACGGAGACCCGATTGCGGCACAGTTTCGGAAATGTCTCGACCAGACCTACCGATAGGGCGAATAAAAATTTTCAGTCGGTCGGTCCCCTTTTTTAAAGATTGAGTGGATTTTGTTGAATTTAGGCCTATTTTATCGTTTTGAGGATGTTGCCGGTGACGTGGACCCGATTGCGGCACAGTTTCTGCAATGTCTCGACTAGACCTACCGATGGGGCGAATAAAAATTTTTAGTCGGACGGTTCCCTTTTTTGAAGATTGAGTGGATTTTGTTAAATTTAGGCCTATTTTATTGTTTTGAGGATGTTGCCGGTGAAAAAAACCCGATTGCGGCACAGTTTCGGAAATGTTTCGACCAGACCTACCGATGGGGCGAATAAAAATTTTTAGTCGGTCGGTCCCCTTTTTGGCCCGTCCCGTTTATTTTTTGTAAAAAAATGACGGAGGGACGGGCATATAGTATGATGCATGCTGTGCGTCCGTTCGTTCGTTCGTTCGTCCGTTCGTTCGTCCGAGGACTTCCCGTGGTCCGATCTTGACCAAATTTGGTATGCAGCCTCCTTGGGTGATTTTAAGAACCGCCCGGTGGCAGCAAATCCGATCCGAGCCCCGGGGGCGCTGCTGCAGGTGCATCATGGTCTACATGGGGTTGAGGAGGATCTCGGCAACGGATGCAGCTAGAAGGGCATGTAGGGGTGTTTTTGGAATCGGGGCGACGAAACAAAACCAATGGTGCCAGTTTCAAGCGAATCGGAGAAGTTTGGACCCGGGTTCAAATCCCAGAGAGGTATATTTTGGACTTTCTTTTTAATCAAGTTTTTGCATTGTTTGTAATGTTTTTGAGGGCGCTGATGACGAAAATAACTCCTATTTTGACTCCAGACTCAGGTTCAAATCCCGTTAGGGTTAAGCATAGGCTAAATTCGCAGATTTCTAAATCTACGGGACGGGCCAAAGTTGCCGATGTGTATCGCTACTTTTCCTGTTATTTGAAGATTGAGGGGATTTTGTTAAATTTAGGCCTATTTAATCGTGTTTTGAGGATGTTGCCAGTGACGGAGACGGGATTGCGGCACAGATTCGGAAATGTCTCGACCAGACCTACCGATGGGGCGAATAAAAATTTTTAGTCGGTCGGTCCCCTTTTTTGAAGATTGAGTAGGTTTGCTCGGAAACGGTGAGAAATTTGTTCCCCTTTTTTGTAGATAAAGTAGGTTTTCTCGGAAACGGTGAGGAATTTTCAACTTTTGGGATTTTTCCCAATTTTTCCATAAAATTTGGAATCGAATGGAAAAAACCGCAAGTCTCTACGACCACTCCTTCACCCCAAACATTTCTATGAGTGAGTGAGTCAGTGAGTGAGTCAGTGAGTGAGTCAGTGAGTCAGTCGGATTGGGGCTTTATAGGTTCTTGATAGTTTTAGGTGTATGTTTTAAAGCAAAGGTATCATCTGCTAAAAACTGAATCCTTTGTGCCGTGGCCTGCACCGCCGCCACGCCGTGGCCGTCGGATTGCGAGCACGCGGTGCATCTGCGCTGTAGCGGGGAGGGATTGTCAATGTTGCGCGCAGACCCGGGCGTCGCGCGCCAGAAGGGGGTGCCATTCACTCTACAAAAAATGTCCTGTCAACGCCGTTAATTTATTACCAATGTTTGCTGTTATGCAATTCACGGCGTTTGCTGTGAACTAGTTCACGGCGTTCACTGTGTTCTCAGTTACAGTGTTCACTGTGATCTGGCCACAGTAAACGCCGTGAATTGGAGCCTGATTTGCAGTACGTCGGTGCTCAGCGACGTCATCCGCACAGTGTTTACCGGGGACCAGATCACAGTGAACACCGCGAACAAAATCACAGTGAATCCCGTGAGCAGATCACAGTAAACGCTGTGAATTGACCTACAGTGAAAACTGGTAATAAATTAACGGCATTTACAGGACATTTTTGGTAGAGTGTTGTCAAATTCCGCGCAGGCTGGGGCGCAGGCAGGCACAGCCAGC